CACATACTTCAGTTGTGGTTTGTCCCCGGCTCTGGCGGAGTCATGCGGGAGGCAGCCAGTTGATGTGTCCCTCTCACGTTAATGTTTCTCTTTCTCTCCCTTTCTTTCCCTCTCTTTCCCTCCCACTCTATCTGAAGATAAATATCCTCAGGTGAGGATTAAAAAAAAAAGTAAAACCTTAGAACTGGAACAAAGCGAACGTTTGATCTACTTCCTGTTACCCATAGATTAGAGAGCCCTGCACCAACCACCTTGAACCAAAGAAGCAATGATGTACAATTTATGCTCACAAAAGAGAACTTTAAATTGTAATTTTTTTACATGAATAAATCATTTTAAATAGAATCTTCTTTTTTTTTTTTTATTTTTTATCCTCACCCGAGGACACTTTTCCATTTTTTGTTCAGGTAGAGTGGGAGGGAGAGAGAGGAACAGAGAGAGAGAGAGAAACATCGATGTGAAAGGAACACATCGAGTGGCTGCCACCCGCACGACCAACCAGGGCCGGGGACAAACTGCAACCGAGGTACATGCCCTTAGCGGGAACCGAACCCGGGTCTCTCTGGACCGCAGGCCGACGCTCTAACCGCTGAACCAAACAGGCCAGGGCTAGAATCTTCTTTTTTTAATGTCTGTGTAAAGTTGCCAATTGCCCTTCCTTGGAAAGAACTGACTTTTACTCTAAAAGTGTGAGTTTTCTACCTATTTGGTATTGACATTTTCTTCCTTTCTTTTTTGTAATCCTTACCCAAGGACATTTTTCATTGATTTTTAGAGAGAAGGGGAGGGAGAGACAGAGACAGAGACAAAGACAGAGACAGAGAGAAACATCGATGTGAGAAAGAAACATCGAACCCTGGCCAGTTTGGCTCAGTGGTAGAGCATCGCCCGCAAACCAATGAGTCCCAGGTTTGATTCCAGCCAAGGGCACATACCTTGGTTGCAGTTCGTCCCTGGCCCTGCTCGAGGTCGTGTGGGGGACAACCAATTGATGTGTCTCTCTCATGTTGATGTTTCTCTCTCTCTCCTTCTCTCTCTGCCTGAAGATAAATAGAAAAATATCTTCAGGTGAGGATTAAAAGAGAGAGAGAGAGAGAGAGAGAGAGAGAGAGAGAGAGAGAGAGAAATATCAACCAGTTGTCTCCCTCTCACACCCCAACTGGGGATGGAACCTGTAACCTAAGTGTGTGTCCTGAAAGGAAATCAAACCCACAACCTTTTGGTGTATGGGATGACACTCCTACCAACTGAGCCAACTGTCCAGGGCTAAATTTCCTTTCATTTATGAAATGCCGCTGATGGTAATGTAGGAAATATTTTTATTTGGCAAAATAAAATGCTGACAATCTTGTATCAGTCTAATGTACTTTTAGTTCTGCCCATGCCTATCCTGTGTACCTGGCCAAAGGGTATTGAGAATATATGGCCCAAATTACTGAAATTTTACCTTTATTTCTGGACACTGTCCTATCCAGCCCAGAGGGATGTGCTAAGATGTGTTCAGTGTCCTGGGCCCCCTCTCTCATCTAAACAAATGCTTCCACCCCATTTGTTTTATATCTGAGAAGCACCTCCCCAGCAGCCCAGCCCACAGCACTGCAGGAATTGCTGGGTATTTTGCAAAGATCTGGCACTGAGGGACATGGTCCACACAGGAAATATGAATGGAGCATCTCACAGTATCAAGGGCCCCTCCTAGGCACTCTGAGAAAAGGAAACGGGAGTTTCCTGCCCTATTGGAATCTGTAATACCATTGGACGAACAACGTAGCTACCCAAACATCCAAAGGCAATGAGGCAGGAAATTGTAAATGCCAGTCGACACCGTGAGACACACAGAAAGTGGGATTTGCGGGATTTTCTGAAAGTGGGAAAATGAAGAGGTATTTCTGGCTGGAATGGCTAGGGAAGAAGTGGATGGTGGTCGAGATAATACTCTGGAGTCCAGACTGTCACAGGCTGTGGGACTGCCCTGTTCCTAGGTGCCCTCATCTGTCAAGTAAAAATAATCATCTTGCCTACCTTGTGCAGTTGAGAAGATTAAAGGGTGGAGCATGTAGTAAGCATCTGTGAATATTAACACTGTCATCATCCTGGACAGGGTGACATGTGAGAAAGAAAATGCAAGTTGTGTTTAGAAAATGAAAAACCATCCCTGCTGGCCCTGGCCAGTTTGGCTCAGTGGTTAGAGTGTTGGCCTGTGGTCCAGAAAGGCCCGGGTTCGGTTCCCGCTAAGGGGACGTACCTCGGTTGCAGTTGGTCCCTGGCCCTGGTTGGATCGTGCGGGTGGCAGCCACTCGATGTGTCCCTTTCACGTCAATGTTTCTCTCTCTCCCTCTCTCTCCCTGCCACTCTGTCTGAACAAAAAATGGAAAAACGTCCTCAGATGAGGATTTTAAAAAAACCATGCCTGCTGGCTAGAGGGAAACATTAGAGTTAATTCAAGGGCTTAACAGGAGAGGAGTTTGGACACTCAGGGGAAAGACATACAGTAGAGGAGGCTGACATGGAGCCAGGCTTCCTGTCTCTGCAAACTCCCCTTGCCAATCCCATTTCTCAGGCTTTCTCTGCTTCCCACTGCCCACTGCTTCCCATCCATCACTACTCAGGGTGACCCAGTCTTCCTCACACATCTTTTGTGCCCCTCCAGGGAACAGGGCTGCCGGTCCGTGTCACCTTCGGGAGCACACAAGCTCTACACGCCACGCCAGCAGCAGCGTTCCTCGGAATAGGCTCCAGGTGTCCATATGCTAAGTGAGCCATGTGGTATGGCAGGGGGTGTGGGTACTGGCTGTCTGCAAATGTGTATACTCCAGCCAGAGCAACAGAACCAGGAGTGCTCCCTGGAAACCTGAGGCAGCCAGCTGAGCCAAGGACTAGAGCACGCAGAAAGCAGTCCAGACTGCAGTGAGCGGTGGGCTGCGTAGCCGGGTGCTGTGCCCGGTGACAGAGGCAACCACCCTTTCTCCTGCTTCCAGGGGTTGTTTAGGTGGATGTGCCCAAAACAGATCTGTGTCTGCCACTCAAGGATGTCTGAAAAGTGTACACAGACAAAACCATGAAAAGATAATACATGGGAGAACCCCTGCCCTGCTTGGGTTGGGTGGGTCCCAAAATGAGCTGTTGGTTTTGTTGAGAGATGATGGAGTTGCAGTAAGCGGGGTTGGGAGTGCAGAGAAGGATTGGACCATCCTACTTAAGAAAGGACTTGGGATGACCAGGAGAAAAATAACTATTCAGGAGGGAAGGAGAATCAAGAACTCAGTGATTGGGGGCACTCTGGGGTATTTTGAGGGTGGAACAGAATTAGAAGGGGCAAGATTATTATATGACATTTATATTGGATACTTAGGTAGTTTCACTGTATGACATGTTATAAAGTCCATTCTTCTTTGTCCTTACGAGGTCATCAGAGATGCTCTTTTTATTTTTTTTATTCCTTACCTAAGGATATTTTTCTACTTATTATTGGATAGAGTGGGAGGGAAGGAGAGAGAGGCAGACAGAGAGAAACATCGATGTGAGAGCCACATCGACTGGTTGCCAACCACATGACCCCACCAGGGCTGGGGACGAACCGCAACCAAGGTACGTGCCCTTGACCAGAATTGAACCTGCGACTCCTTGGTCCATGGGCCGATGCTGTAACCATTGAACCAAACTGGCCAGGGCCAGAGATGCTCTTTTTAAAGATGCAGGTATTAGCGTGGTGACACCGATTAAAAATATTGAGATACCCAGACCAAGGCAAGACCATGAAAGCCATCTTTGTTTGAGCAGCCAGTTGGGGTCTCTATTGTCACGATTCTTACATTTTTGCTTCCAAATGAACCAAGAGAATCGGACAGTGACAGTGATGCTGGCCTTTTTTGGGAAAACCTATCTGTAACCCAAATAAAGGTCTTCTTGGGTTCTTGCCTGCACCCAACTTCCAAAGCCTCCTCCATGGCCACCAGCACCACAGTGTCCTTTAGTCACAGGAACTCAGAGGGCAGCCCTCGCCTCCATGGCATGTGGTTTCTCCACCCTTCCTGCAAGGAAGCATGCGTTTTAGGTCCTTGCCAGCCTGCCCTCTCCAGCCTCACCCCGTGTGATATCAGGGCCAGCTGGGACCACGTGATTTTCCTAGCACATTCTATTTCCTTCTGACTTTGCCACTTTGCTGCTGTGATTTAACCTTGAGCCCATTTGGGCTCTCCTCTGCCAGTTTCACCCATATTGACTACTGACCCACACATGGGAGTTCCTGGAGGGACCGTCTCCCCGCTCTCTGCTGCCTCTCTTTCTTGGCACGTGGACCTGGATGACCCTACCTGTGACCCATGGGCTCTGTGGAATTACCAGGAGGGTAGTCATTGGGTGTGGCGCCGTGAGTCTGCCAGGTGACTTCCTGTGACTCCCTCTGCCTGACCCCTGCCAGGGACCAGCAGGGAAGCTGGCAGGGACCTCCTTGCCCAGAGTATTCCCACGAACAGCTCATTTTCCTGCTTCTTTTCTCTCCCAGATCTTTCTGCCTCTTGTTTTCACAGAAATTATTTGTTGCCCTGGCTAGTTTGGCTCAGTGGTTAGAGTGTTGGCCCGCAGACCAAAAGTTGCGGGTTCGATTCTGGTCAAGGGCACATATCTCGGCTGTGGTTCGGTCCCCGGACCTGGTCAGGGTTGTGTGGGACACAGCTAGTCGATGTGTCTCTCTCACATCAGTGTTTCTCTCTCTCTCTCCCGCCCTCCCTCCCTCCCACTCTATCTGAAGATAAATGGAAAAAATATCCTCAGGTGAGAAAAAAAAAAAGATATTTGTTTAAGGGAGAAGAAAAATGCAAAGAATAATACCATGCACATCACTGTCAACCTGTGTTCAAACTGCTCTCAGTGTCCTTCACCTCCGCCCGCCCTGCCCTACCACAGGCCTCTCACCTCTCCTGGCGACCTCAACTCAGGGCGGCTCTGGGCTCTCTGCCCTCATCCACTGTGAGTAATCACCTCGTACTTTCTCTCCCCAGGGTCCCATGGAGAAGGGGGCAGCAGCCTCTGCGAACACGCAGAAGATAGACCCAGCAATGGAGGCCAAGCTCAAAGTGGTAGATTGGGATAAGGTAACTGGCACAGATGGGGTGGAATGATGATCGGGGCTCCCAGGGCGAAGGAGGTGTGTGGAGCCAAAGGCTGTGGTTATTTGTAATGTTTGCCCAGAAAAGATGAGACTGGGAAGCAGGTGCCCACAGCGTACAAGTATGACCTGGGCCACACACGCATGACCAAGGTTGTGCTAGGTGTGGGAAAACCGTGCACAAGGACCTTGGTGCAGAGCCAGGCCCCAAATACCCCAGGGCAAGGGTTCCCACAAGGACTCCTGAAGCCGAGAAGGGCACAATGCAGGATCAGCAGGCCCAACATGCCCAGCTTGACCCTTACACATGGCAGAGCTACCCAGGCACCAGGCTGAAGCCTGCGGGGGCAGGGCAAGCCATCTGCAATGTTCGTCTGCAGAGCCTGGCAACAAACCTCTCTTGGTGTTCAGAGGCCAGCGTCTTGGGGGATTAGGCAGACCCCCTTTGTTGGTTAGGGGAGTCCTGAGTGGTCCCAGGTGGAAGTGGAGCTGCTCAGTGAAAGGTGGGGGTGGGGGTGGGGAGGAAGCAGTGTGGCCTGGGAACCCTGGAGGGAACCAGACATGGGAGCCATTTCCCTCCTGGGAAAGACACAAGTGGGTCTATCCGTAAGTGTCCCCTGCCTGTGCTGGACACCAGACGAGAGACAAACAGGACAGGCCCCTGCACCCAGGCAGCTCACCGTCTAGGAGGAGGATAGACCCTACCCCGACCCTATACACAGTTAGTACAACATGGGGAGTTGTGCCCAAGGAACACAGGCGACCAGAGGAGAGATGGGGACCCCAGAAAGATTATTGTTTGTTGGGCCCCTTTGGCTAGGACTCCTGAGGCCCTGACTCCAGGAACTCCAGGATGGTGTCTGTCACATGGGAATTGCCACCCCCTTTGGGGAGCCCATCAGCCCATGATAAAGACATGAGTGTGTGCTCTGTTAGAAAGGCTGGGACAGGCTGTTCTGTGCCCATCCCCTTCGAGAGGCATGTAAACAACAGGGAAAGAGACCAGGGAGGAAAAAGGCTAGCCTGGACCCCACAGCGTGCCCCCAGAGGGCTCGCCAAAGCCTGGTGTCCTGACTCTGAGCCCCGGGCTTGGCCAAGATTGCTCAGAGCCCAGACCAAGGCTGAGGTTGGGGGGTCTTTGTATAAAGAGCCAACTTCTCTGGAAGTTTTGGGAGTTGGGCTTGTTCTGCATTTGGGCAGGATGGAGGGGGAGACAGCCAGCTTGAATGGGTTAAGGATCCTAAAGCCATGGAGTCAGGACCTCACCCTGGAAAAAGAGGAGCTTCAGAGGGAGATGAGGAGGGTGTGGGGCTGAGGGCAGGCCGGGAGAAGGCGCTGCAGAGGGTCCAGCTCAGGGCTCAGGGCTCAGGGCTAGGGGATGGGACTGAAAGGAGCCGTGAAGAGGGGTCTTGGGAGTCAGCATCTGTGGGCTTGGCTTGGAGGCTGAATGTTGGAAAGAAAATACTTTTTTTATGAGAGAGAAAAGAGAGATGAAACATCGATCGCTGCCTCCTGCACGCCTCCCCCACACTGGGGATCAGGCCAGCAACCCAGGCATGTGCCCTGACTGGGAATTGGACCAGGACCTCTCAGTACATGGGATGACGCTCAATCCACTGAGCCACACCTGCTGGGCTGGGTGGAAAGAAAATACTTTAAAGAGAGAGCTGACCAGGGCTGGATAAGTACCCTGTTGCAGGGAAGAATCTCCCATAGTCTACCTGGGCTGCAGGTTCAAGGCTGACCCCAGTCCTGTCACTGCATGGGGGGTGGGGCAGGTGGGGATCAAGGCCACCCAGGCCTGTTCCACCATCATTTGTGTCCCCACCGGAGGGGTGAGTGGCCTCCCCTCTCCCACCTCCCCCAGGGCCTGCTTCTGGCTCCTTGCCAGCACATTCAGACAGGTCACACCTGACTCACCTCCCCTTGCCTCTCTGTCATTCTTTCTCACCACCTTCTGTCTTCCTTCCATCTCGCTGAGAGAGGGGCAAGGGCTCAGCTGAGAGGGTGTGGAGACCCTCTGGCAAGGAGTTCCCAGCCCCCCAGGGAATGATGGGGGAGGGCTTCCTGCTTCCCCAGCTCCCTAAGAAGACCCAGCCTGGGGAACTGGGCTTCCCAGACAGAGTGAACAGTGCTTTTCTAAAAAAAAACAAAAAAGAGTCATCTACATGTGGTCAATTTCAGCCCCTTTGGGGAGTGGAGAGGCTGGAAGTGCCCCAACCCCTTGTCTGGTTTAAGCCCTGCATATTTCTGACCCAGGCCAGGGGCTTGGATGGGTTCACTGGGTCTGGACCTTGAGGAGCTGAGGAGAGAGGCCAAGAGGCTGAAGCTTTTTCTCTGTCAGGGGTCTGGGGCCTGGAGTAGATTTACACACCCGCCCCTGGGGCAAAGGGACTTGCCAAAGATAAGCTCTCCTGGTCAAGCCTCCCCAGCATGCTGGAAAGAGTGAGGGGAGCTGGGGTGCTGGGGTGCTGGGGCCCAGGTTCTGAAAAGAGAGCAGAAGGGCCAGGAAACCAGCCCAGGGTGCCCCACCCTGCTTAGAAGTGGGGTAAGGTCTGATTCTCGGGTTCTGCATGGAAGTTTACTGCAACCAGTTCTGATCACCCAGTCAGGCAGGACCCAGGTTTACTTGTGGGGTGAGAATCTAGGTTGTAGCCCCTCACCCTACACTACACCCTACATGCCTCCCTGTCTTCTGGAGCCCAGTCAGCCTGGGGCTTCTCGCCCCAGCGTAGGTGGCAGGAGCTGCCCACCGCTCCCGGCTCTGGGCGCACCTGTCCCTTTGTCCCACTGCCTCTTTTCACTGCTTTGCTGTCTGTCGCAGAGCCCTCTCTGGCAGCCTCCTGCACCCTGCTCACTTGTGGGGGCCAGCTTTCTGGAACCAGATGGAACTGGTGTGATTTGAAGGGTTTGTAGAAGTTCCTGTCCGAGTCTCTCTGGGCAGCAGAGTTAGGGCCACATTAACATTTCTGTTATTGAACTCTTACCATGTGCCAGGCACTGCAGGACAAGTGCTTTAAAGGTATGATCCAATTATCTAATTTAATCCTCTCACAACACAAGAGATAAGATGATCAGATCCTGATTTAACAATGAGGAAGAGCTTAGGTCTTGTGCCCAAAGTCACTCTGCTGGTTCAGTTGGCACAGCCAGAGCTTACCACTGAGCCCCTCCCCTGCCGGGCACCCTTCCATGTGTCCTGGACCTGCCCACCCTTAAGGCCTGTGACTGGAAGAGGGTGTGGCAGAAGGGAGGGAGGAGGTTGAGCAGGTTGGGGGTGCGGTGTCTCCAAAGCTTTGTACATCCTCTCCCCATCCTGCCCCTCAGGCTAAGCCAGACTCCAGCAGAACCAGCTCAAATCATCCAGCCAGGTGTGTCACAAAGCAAAATGCAGCAGTGGGTTCTCAAAGCCCCCTTGCCACCTCCACACACACACACAGGCACAGGCACACACTCACGCTCCTTAGCATCTGGGGCTGCTCCCAGGGTCCCCAGGGGCCTGGCAGAGTTTGATATTGGCTACATGGGTTTAACATTTTGGGACCCTCAGTTAAGTCACTTCTCGGGAAAATAGCCTCTGGATCTGAACAAGGGTCCTCTTGGCCAGCCCACCTCAGGGGAAGGCCAACTTCAGCCCTGTGGGTGCAGCCCTGGCTCACCTTGCAGCATTCTGCACCCACACCCACGCCCATCACCTTGGGTCCCTTTGGACATCCTTTCTCCCCTTGATCACCCCAGAGTAGGGGCCTGGAGGGTCTGGCTGCCCGAGGGATCCACAGGGGCCTCCTCAAGACTGTCCTTGCTCAAGTTTTCTCTCTGCTTTCCCCCTTGCCCAGAGACCCTGGCCCCTCTTCCAAAGCACTCAGGAGTGCTCAAAAAATAACCACCCTCTGCCCAGGGAGAAACCAGATAGATGGGCTGGGTGCTGCCCTCTGTGTCCTTTGAGGGCAGTGGACCACACAGGCTCAAGTCAGGAGATGCCACTGGGTGACCATAGGCAGCTATGTTCTGTTTCTCCATCAGCAAGAGGGAGGAAATTATGCCCACCCCATATGGTGTGGAGTTGTCAGGAGATCCGGCAGAGTGTACAAGGGGTATCAGAATGCGAGCTGTCAGTGAAAGACCAGCCTACTTTGCTTTAGAATGGGGATAGGGGGCAGAGCCCCTTTCTCTGTTCTTATGTCCCAGGCACGGAGGTCACGCCACATTCTGCATGGTGCACGGCGATCCTTCCTCTGATGAGGCTTTGACCCCTTCACTCCTTGCTCCTGTCCACTCTCATCTCCCTGAACAGGGGGAGCCTAAGGCCACCACCTCAGCCACCCCATCACCTGGGCACAGGGAAGAGGCAGGTGGTCCAGAACCACCTCTGTGGACTCAGTGTAGAAGCTCCCAGTTAGAGGAACCACCCCTGCAAGGCCTCCAAGAACCCTATGTACCCGAGCACTGAACACCTCTGCTGGGTCCCTCACAGCCTCTGTGCTGGCAACTCATAGACACGGGGTCCTGAACTAGCTGATAGGAGGCTCCTGGCCCTGGGTTAAGATGGACTGAGGTGCAGGTCCCACCTCCAGCACATACAGCTGAGCTTCTGACCTCAGTCTCCCCACCTGTAAAATGAGGTCAAAATCACAGCTCACAAAGGAAAATGGACATGAGGTCTGAGCCCAGGGGCCTGTGACAAGGGTGCAGAAATAATATGTCCTGGGATTCCTGTCGAGCTTCTTGTCCTCACTCCCCATCCCACCCCCAAGCCCTTCTGGTTGGAAGCCCACCGCGGCCTTCCTGGCTCAGAAAGCTGCTCTGGAGCTGTGAGCTCTGGGGTCTGGGCAGACATCTCTTTAAACAATTGCCTTAGCTTGTGACTGTGGTCATGGGGGGAGCTGCTGGCACAGAGCAGCTGCCACCTCTCCATACATTTACCCCTTCTGGAGAATTCACCCCTCCATACAGATACCCAGCTTCTGCTCCAGAGCTGAGGCTGCCCTGGAAAGAGTTCTGTGTCACCCGGCCCCTCTGCTGCCCAGGAAGAGGGGGACCTGGGAAGTGGGGAAGGGAGGAAAGCAGAGGAGGCCCACTCTTCAGCCTGGCAGCGTGCATGCCCTTCCACCCACCCTCTGGGCAGCAGGCAGCAAACTGCCCTTTCCCCCTGCCTGGCCCTGCTGCATTCCTGGCATAGCCGGGAGAGGCTGAGGCCTCCCCCTCCCATTGGGGCTGGGGCAGAGCTGGGTGGGGGAGGGGAACGGGACACACTGTTGGCACTAGGTGCTTTAGCCAAACTCTCAGTGTCCTCATCCATAAGATGGGGAGAGGGCAGCAGGACTGGATTTCTATACTTACATGGAGGCTCACTCTACTTCTCCTGGAAGAGCGGCTGAGGCTCCAGTGGCCACGTTTGCAGAGTAAGAGTGAGCTTTCCTGGGAGTCCTCCAGGGTGGTGCTTTACCCCCGGGGCACCAAGGAGTGCTACCTCACAGAAATGCACTGGGGACTAGACACGGGGCCTGGGTTTGAGGCCCTCCAAGGCCAGCGAGCTGCTCAGAGGCAGCTCAGAACCAACTCTAGACAGTGAGTCTGCCATTTGTATGATGGCCAGTGCCTGCTGGTCTATCTAGGGAGGAACCAAAGTCGTGTACAAAGATCAGATGGGCAACAGGACATCAAATGAGAGACCCCTGTGTTCAAAGGGGCTGGGGCTGGGGCTGGGGCTGGGGCTGGGGGTGAGGGTGGTTCTGGCTCTGTTCCCACCAAACCTGTACACAGACACCTCTTCAGCAATCTACCCGCAGCTCTGCACACCTGCTCTGTCCTTGTGTCTGTTTCCTTCACAAGAGAGTGTCAGGTTCAGGCTGGAGTCCATCCCTGATTGCTGCTGTTTCTACTCTCTTTATGAAATAAGGGCAAAATGAATCAACAGGTGAAAATTTGCCCAAACCACTGCAAGGCTCAGAGAGAGGCCTGCCTGGCTGCACCCCTGGGCTATAGCTGGAAACACTCATTGTCTGTGGTAGTTCATTTGAATTAAGTGTACAAATGCAAAACAGGCATAGAGTGCCATGTGTAACATATAAAGTAGACCATATGAAAACCGCAGTTTTCATTTGAGAAAGATGGTGACAAGTTAAGGATGTATATTATTATCCTTAGAGTAACAACTGGCAGCGGGGGGTGGGGGGGTCATAACTAAAAAGTCAATAGAGATAATAAAAAAGAATATTTTTGAGATACTCAATTAATACAAACAAGGCAAAAAAGGAAGAATAGAGGAGACAAACGGAAAACAAATACCAAGGTGTTGAGTCTACTGCAACATTAAATACAAATGGACTAAATACTTCAAGTAAAAGGCAGAGACTGACTAGATAAAGAAAAGCAATACCCAACTATATGCTGTCTGCAAGAGGAGATGCATTTTAAATGTAAAGATGTACACAGTTTGAAAGTAAAAGGATGGGAAAATAGACCATGCAAATGCCACACATAAAGAAGCCTGGTGTGGCTCTATTAAGATTCAGAACAGCCCTGGCCGGTTTGGCTCAGCGGTTAGAGCGTTGGCCTGCAGTACAGAGAGACCCGGGTTCGGTTCCCACTAAGGGTACGTACCTCGGTTGCAGTTTGTCCCTGGCCCTGGTTGGGTTGTGTGGGAGGCAGCCACTCGATATGTCCCTTTCATATCGATGTTTCTCTCTGTCTCTCTTTCTCTCTCTCCCTCCCACTCTATCTGAACAAAAAATGGAAAAATGTCCTCAGTTGAGGATAAAAAAAAAAAAAGGTTCAGGACAGGGAGTATTGCCAGGGACCAAGATGGTTATTTCCCAATGATTAAGGGATCAATTTATCAAAAAGACATAACTGGGTAACCTTGGGCAAGTTACTCTGCCTCAATTTCCTCATCTGCAAAATGATGGTGATTATAGTACTTGCCTAGTTAGGGGTATGATAAAGATCAAATGATTAATTGTTTAGAACCATGCCTGCACAAAACAAAGGCTCTGTGAGTGTTACCTCCCGATGGTGTTGCAACTGGGGCAAAGCCTCAAGCCCTCACCATGACCCTGGCCTAGCTTCTTTTGAGGTGGGGCTCCATAGGCTGCGTAAGATAAGGTGCAAACACAGGCCACTAGCTGGTTTCTCCAGTTTTTTTTTTCTTGGTGGTGGTGTTGCTGTGTATGTGTGTGTTTGTATGGAGAGATCTGAGGCAGAGGAATGGAAGGAAGGAATGAGGCAGCATGCATCCAATGAATTCGTTTCCTGCTGGACCCAAGGGAAAAAGTCAAGGAGACGTGGGGACTAGAGAAAGTCAAGCGACTAAGTAGGGTTTGGATGATTGCCTTGTTTAACTGGATGGTTCCAGGCTGACCAGAGTCATCTTTCAGCCTGGGAAGCAGGAAGACAGCCAGCACCTGGGAACTGCCAAGTTCACATAACAGAAAACCACAACCATCTTTAGACCTTTTCCCTGAGTGGCAGGCAAAGAGAGAGTGCTCAGTGACCTTCCCTATTTGCCCAAGACCCCTATGCTCCTGAAGGCTGTGATGGCAGGGCTGGGAGACCTGCTGGGACTGAGCCAGCCTTGGTGGGGAGGCCTGTGCAAGGATGAGATTCCAGCCATGGATGCAGGAAGGCAGGTTTCAGAATCACTGTTGACTCTGTTGACTCTCACAGGCTTGTGTCCTCTTCCTCCATGTATCCCTTTCGCCTCTCCTTTTCTTTCTAGACACTACCTCCCTTCTCACCTGCAACAGCCACCTGACTCCCTTGTATTGGAGATTTATTGACATCAACTGTGCACCAAACACTGGACACGTCTTGCCCTCTCTCTTATGGGTGGTGGGCACATCAGCTTTATAGACTAGAGAGCTGAGGAGCTCCTAGAGGTAAAGGCACTTGCCCAGGATCCCACGGCTAATCTATGGCAGAGCCAGGCTTTGAAGGTGATCCCTCGCTACAACTTCATTGTTCTTTACTGGTTTTGGTTTACTGATCTTGGTTCAGCTTAATTTTCTTCAATACATCGACTCATCAGAAACCTTCAAGGGCTTCCCATTGCCTAGAGCTGTGGCTTCCAAACTTGTTGATCTTATATCCCTCTAAGTAAAACATTTAGAGCACATTTTCCATTGTACTTCCATTTTAATTATCTATAAATTATTTGCATGTGCAAATGTACTATTGTATTGTGTGCATGAGAAAATATTCTAATACAGTTTAAAGGTGAGATAAATATATCAAATAGAGTCTCTAACATTCTCCCCATGCCTCTGGGGATCAGCCTGTGAGTACCCCTGGGGTATGCATACATCCCCACCTTGGAGACAATGGCCTGGAGGATGACATACCAACTCCTGGGCTTGGTAAGGAGTGTTCTGTCATCTAAAACTCTCTGCCCCACAAATCAAGGTCAAAGTACTAAATGGGCCACAATCACTGTCAACCCCACATTTCTGCCTACATCCCCTCCCTCATATTTCCTTCTCCTCCTTACCAAGTGCTCCATGTTGTGTGAGCTCCAACCCAAACCCCGGGTTCTCTGCAAAGCCTCTTTCTTCTACCCTGGACCCAGGCATTTGTACCAGTCATTCTGCCTCTCAGTCTGAGCGTGCCTATATCCACGCTAAACTATCTTGCCTAGTATGTCGCATCTTGCTGATCACTTTATGCAGGTACCATTGTTATTACTTCCATTTCATAGCTGGAGAAACAGAAGTTAAGAGAGATCAAGTGATTTGCCCAAGGTCACACAGTGAGTGACGGAGCCAGGACTTGTACCCAGGCCTGATTCCAGAGTCTGAATTCTGATTAAGTACTAAGCTATGTGGAGCAAAGTTGATCTCTCACATTCCTGTTTATTCTTCCCAGCATCTTATATATAAAATATCAAGCAAATTTTTGAATGAATGGATATTTAAATGGATGAACGCATTGCCTAGGACGATACCAAGAAGAAAGCCTGTGGTAGAGGAGAAAGGACCTATTTCATTTCTAGTACAGAATATATTGGCTCCTGTCCCTGAAGAGTCCTGGGCACGACCTCAAGCTTCAGGCATGGCTGAATCTGAGTGCTCAGGTGTCATCACCTGGATTCAGTGTCTTTAGATCCTGGCTTGGCCACCCTCTGTATTGATCAAGTCCTTAGGCAGGCTCTGCTAGCAACTTCAGGGTCGTGCCCCACCAACTTAGCAACTCCAGCAGGAAGAGAGAATGTCTGATGGATTATTGTACCAACTTAGGTCATGAGCCTATCCTGGGTCCCATTTCTGTGGCTGGGAGCTGAGATGAGTGGCTTGGTCAGTCCTGAATCACTGAAGTGAAAGGGCCAGTAGCCCCACACAGACCACATGAGGTGGAGGATGGTGACTGGGATCCTATAACTAGGAGATGGGAGAATGAATGTGTGTAGGTGTGAATATCCAGTATTCATTGACTTTGTCTCTTGCAGGACCTGGTAGACTGGCAGAAGCCCCTACTGTGGCAGGTAGGCCACTTGGGAGAGAAGTACGATGAATGGGTCCACCAGCCAGTGACCAGGCCCATCCGCCTCTTCTACTCAGACTTCATCGAGGCCCTCACCAAGACTGTCTGGTGAGCCCCGTGCTGGGCCCATGGTGGGCTGTCCTCTCCTAATGGTATCAGTCAGCTACAATAGGGGAAGGGGCATTTGAGTCCTCCCTTCCCCCAGCCCAGAGCTATACTGTAAGCTCTCATGGATAGTGGAACATGCCATAGGTATAATACATTTCTATGCATGGTTTGTTCATTGAGTGAGTGACACCCCAACATGTAGCCAGAAACCACTTTATATAGCCAGAAACCACTTTGAATACTACCCCTATTCTATTCCAGATTCCTATGAAGGGTTTCTAGCCTCTAATGCCCAGAACAACTTTGCCTGCAATTAGCTCCTTTTCCACAAGAGGTCAGCATCTATCCAGCTGCAGAGAGTCTGTAGCCACAGGGAGACAGTTCTTTTCTGCCAATAATTCATCTCAGAGACCTGGCAGATAGACTCAAGGCCTTTCTTTTGTTTTCTCCCCCCACCCCCAGCAGTGTCCCTTTGACCCCAGATCTCCATATGCTTATGGCATATGCTTTGGTATCATGTCACACACACCCCCGTCGAGAGGTATGCCTGGGGAAGCTGGACCCCGTGGAGCCCCTGGCCATGTATGTGTATTTCTCACCCTGGTGGCCTTCCTGCAGGTACAGTGTCCCCATCATCTGGATGCCCCTGATGCTGTACCTCAGTTGGTCCTACTACCGAACTTTTGCCCAGGGCAATGTCCGACTCTTCGCTTCCTTCACCACAGGTAATGTCAGTTCCTTCCTGATTTTTTCCCATGGCTCCCGGAGGTGGGAGAGAGACCTTGGTGTTCTTTTTGGCACTGAGTTTCTGAGAAAACAGAGCCCAAAACCATATCATAAACATTTTTAAATGAGACCTCTCTGTGGAAATAGTCTTTCAAAGAAAAATGCTGTCAGACTTCCTCGACCCCAACCCCAAATGGATTACAAAAAATAAAAATAAAAAGAAGAAGAAAAAGAACAGCAACACATTAGCAAAAACTAAATGAAACCATTTTGTCAAGAGATGTAGCAATAAAGAAAGAGGCTTATCACTGAGGCGAATGCTAGAAAAGGTATAATCTGGGATTGTCAAGAAACTAAATGAACTCTGTCACCAGGTGGCAGAGCTGAGAGCTGGACCCAGGATGGTCCGTGAACACTGCACAAAGGAGAACCCAAAAGAGAAAGATCTGGGAGTGTCCTGCAGTGTCTCCTGGACCAAAGTCCAGGTAGCAGAACCTCTGACTTAGAGTAACAACCCAACCAACTTCTACTATTACCTCATGCCAAGCTTGGTGCTTTCCAGTGACCAACTTGGTTAACCTTCACAACAGCCCCACGGCAAAGGTACTATCATCATGCCCGTTTCAAGATGAGGAAATGGAGCCTCGGAGAAGTCAAGCAAGCGATTCAGGGTCATGTGGCTAGGGTGTAGATGCCAGATGCCCCCAATTTCAGGGATCAGGGGATAGAGAGAAGGGCTGACATGGGGCAACTTCCAAAGAGCTTATGGGACTAAGTCTCTCAGGGCAGCCATGGGTCTGGGTGCTGCCACCTCTGCCAGCCTGCCTGCCCCAGCTGACTCCTATCTTGGGCCTCCAGGTACATGCTGCCTGCCCAGGTGGTCTGTTCATCCTAGCACAGCTTGTCTCGGGGTGGTGCTGGCCCATGGCGGTGGCCCAGGTAGAGGCCAGGTCAGGGGACAGGCAGGAGAGGGATGCTGGGACAGCTCAGGGCTTTCCTTTTCTGATCACATGTAATGTTTCTGACTGTGAGCCTTTGGAGCGCCCCCTCTCTGCCAGATGCAGGCTCCTTCCCCCCACACTCAGGCTTCCCTCCCGCCCACCTCTTTTGGGAGTGGCAAGTAGAGGACCTGAATGGTTTAGATGAAAGCGGCCACAGTGATGGGAGCCTCAGGTTTCCCACCTGGCCCAGGACGTGGTGGGGGATGAACAAACTATGGGAAGTGCCCCAGAGCCCAGAACTGCTCCCGGTCACCAAGGGTTAACACGCATGCCCCACGAGCCAAGGTTACCCTTTTCTGCCCACGCTGAATAGCTCAGGCATAGCACAGGGCTTGTTGCTCAGAAGGCCTGCTCACTGAATCGCCCACTGTCCACCCAGCGCTCCCCTAACAATCAGCAACAGTGGCAGTGCCACCAGGGCTGGCGGCTGGAGGGGGAAGGGGCAGCCAGAGCTTTGGCCCAGGTCCCTCTGCAGGATTCCTCTAGAGATGCCACTCTGTACCAGCTCCGGGGGATGTGCCAACAGGGATGATGCTGGGGTGATGGAGCAGGCGGAGACTTGACCTATAGGAGGGGGCTCTTCTGCGTGGCAGAGAGGGTGATTGGAGGGCTTAGTCAGAACTGCAGGCCTCTGTAGAGAGCTGAGATGTGCTGTTTAATAAATGTCCAATGTGGAGCCTGTGACCATGATGCTAGACATGGCGGCATGATAGAGATGCTTCCCATTGCCTCCCTCACCTCCCAGCTTGTCAGGCAAGGCAGAGAAAATAAGAGCTGCAGAGCAAGGCGTGGGGAGGTTGAGCAGGTCCCCACGCAGCTGCTGGACAAAGGGCGCACTAGAATCCATGCAGAAGAGTCTGGGAGCCAAGCAGCAGTGGAAGCTGAACTGACACCAGTTCAAGGCTGAAACTCCTAGATGCATGCATGCAATTGTTTCGAAAAGCAGAGGGGTTCTGCTCATTCAGGACGGCCCAAGAGCAGTGCCCGCGAGCAGGTTACAGTGAGTGCTGGGCAGGGACCAAGTGGCATGCTGGGTGGGGATGCAGGTCTCCAACAGGATTATCCTGTGGGAGCCCCAGATAAGGTCAAGACAAATGCCTGAGGCCAGAAATGCTCCAGTGGGTCCAGTCCTTTCCTTGCTGACAAGAGAGCTAAGCAGCAAGGAAGGGCTCCTGCTCTCTGGGATTGGGAGGCAGGGGGCTGGGAAACTCTCCCCAGACCAGGGACCCTCCAGAGCTCTTCAAGGAGAATCAAGAGAAAGTGGGCACAAGTAGAGCTTAGATGTATTTTGACTCATTATATTTATTTTATTTTATTTTTTTTTACCCTCACCCGAGGATATTTTTCCATTTTTTTGTACAGATAGAGTGGGAGGGAGGGAGAGAGAGAAACATCGACGTGAAGGGACACATCGAGTGGCTGCCACCCGCACGACCAACCAGGGCCGGGAACAAACTGCAACCGAAGTACGTGCCCTTAGCGGGAACCGAACCCGGGTCTCTCTGGACCACAGGCTGACGCTCTAACCGCTGAGCCAAACTGGCCAGGGCTATATTTAAAAATTATAGTAGCTACTTGTTATGTATGAGTATTATAAGTATGAATATATAATAATATGTTTAATATAATATAATATAATATAATATAATATAATATAATATAATATAATCTTATCATATAATCAGGTATTACATTCCCTCTGTTCTAACACCAGCCATTACAATGGGACATTTCACTGTTGAGCAAACACATAGAGGGTGCAGAGGCAGGATTTAAACCCAGGTCTGCAAATCCAAGGCCTGTACTCTCTGCACTTTGCCAGGTGTGTTGAAGGCCCCCAGAAGGACCAAGGCTTCCCTGGAAGCAGGGCCTCTGGCCAACCAGAGCAGCCCAGCCAGGGCTGAGGAGCCACTTTCAGGCAATGCTGTTGTGCAGGTGTCCTGCACCAGACAGGGTCACAGCAGGCCCCACTGGTGACAGATGTCAGGCTAGCTTAACCTAGTTTAGAGAGAGAAGGGCCGTTTGGGGACTGAATCTTAGCTGCATCACATGTTATTTTCCAGGTGAGGCATGAAAAATCTCCCCATCGCATAGAGTTGTTTGGAATCGTCACCTCCCTGTCCTGCCTTCCTGTGGTCATCCACACTGGGCACAGGTGTTCAGAAGGGCTTCCTTACTCAGAACCAGAACGTGCCTCCCCTGGGCCTGGTTCTTCCCTTGTAACAACAGTACCACCCTTCAGAAAGGCATGCGTTCACCCACTACAGTCATCTCTCACCACTTCGCACTTGGACTTGCACGACTTCAGTCTATCGCGGTTTTTAATAGAATGAAACCGCAGCCCTGGCCAGTTTGGCTCAGCAGTTAGAGCATTGGCCTGCGGACCGGAGAGTCCTGAGTTCGGTTCCCACTAAGAGCACGTACCTCGGTTGCAGTTTGTCCCCAGCCCCGGTTGGGGTCGTGTGGGTGGTGACCACTCAATGTGTCTTCTCACATTGATGTTTCTCTCTCTCTCTTCCTCCCTCCCTCCCTTCCACTCTATCTGAAGATAAATGAAAAAAAAAAAAAAGAATGAAACCCCAAAAGTCAAAGCGCTAAGTGGCAGGGACAACTGCATATAACTAAAGAATCCTACTTCGCGGAAATTCATTTATCGCGGTAGAGCCTGGAACTGATTAACGGCGATAAATGAGGGCCGACTGTAATTCCCAAAGAGTGTCTGAGCACCTAATGGGTCAAGCACTGGAGACATAAAACAAAAGGCCCACTCTGCCCATACAATTCTCATATCCTACTGGGGATGAATGAGTCAAACTGCAGCCACAATTCAGTGTGATAGACGGTGATGTGAGGGTGATGGGGAGGGTGTGGTAGGAGCCTCAAAGCCTCTGTGGAATTGGGGGTGTCTGCAGAGGCTCCTCACAGGATACACATGGGCTGAATCTCCAAGGATAAGGCGGGGGAGCTCCATTGAAGGAAACCTGAGCAAGTTAGGGATATGGGGTGGGAGGGGCGTACATGGTACATCTAAGGAGCTGGAAGTGATTTGGTTTGGCCCCGGTACAGGGTGATGGGGAGATGAGGCAGGGATATGGCCCACATGGCCAGGTCTTAAGGAAACTTCAGGGACATGTTGGGGGTCTTGATTTTCCTGAAGGTCATAAGGCTCCAGAGAAGGGCTTAGACAGTGTGCGGAGGCAGGGAGTCAGGGTGGTAGCTGGTGCAGTCATGGAGCAGGTGAAAAGTTTACAAGCAGTGAACTGACCTGAGAGAGACATATATTAGTATTTCTTTTATGCTGAATTTACTCCTGGGCCGTACGTTTTTGTTTCTTCAATTTCTTCTGGGATATCTTTTCCTTCTGTGCTACCTCCTCTTCTGGTTTAGGAAGAGGACCCTCTCAGTGAGGATCATCTCACTGTGGCAGGGAGACCTCATGTGCGGGTTCATCGCCCATGAGCTCTGTAAGTTCTGGGATGGATCCGGGAGCTTTGTTCACCTGCATGTGCTCAATGACCAGAGAATCTACATCTAAACCCTTATGTTCAGTGTTACTCTCTGCATTTTTAAGCATGTGCAGCAAGAACTCAGCACCCTTTTTAGGCCACCAACCCTGTTTCCAGCCCCAGTTTGGCCTGGGCACACCTACCAACTTTACTATTGGAACAACAGAATGGCCCACACTGCTTCAGGAAAGTGACACCCTTCAGATACTTGGTGGCTTTTCTTTTTTTTTTTTTTAATCCTCACCCGAGGATATTTTTCCATTTTTTGTACAGATAGAGTGGGAGGGAGAGAGAGGAAGGGAGAGAGAGAGAGAGAAACATCGACGTGAAGGGACACATCGAGTGGCTGCCACCCGCACGACCAACCAAGGCCGGGGACAAACTGCAACCGAAGTACGTGCCCCCAGCGGGAACCGAACCCGGGTCTCTCCAGACCGCAGGCCGATGCTCTAACCGCTGAGCCAAACTGGCCAGGGCTGTGGTGGCTTTTCGATTATGCATACCCTTTATGGTCCGGGCAGTTTCACCAGTGTTCTTAAAGTGCACGTGAATATTTAAATGTCTTGATTTGCATGATTTTATTAGGTTTTCTGGGTCAAGTGAATAGTAAACTGTTTTCAGAGGTCACCTCAAGCCATTTACGGGAAAAGCAAGACTTTTTTTTAATATAGGTGAAATTCATATAACATAAAATTAACCATTTTAAAGCGAACAATTCAGTAGCATTTAGCACATTCAGTGTTGTACAGCCGCTTCCTCTGTCTAGTTCCAAAACATTTTCATCACCTTACAAGGAAACCCAGACCCACTGAGCAGCTGTTCCCCATGTCTACCTCCCCCAGCCCATGGCACCACCAATTTGCTTTCTGTCTCTATCCATTCCCCTCACCTGGACGTTGCATATAAGTAGAGTTATACAACACGTGGTCTTTCATATCTGCTTCTTTTACTTGGTCAACAGATATTAAGGATGGGGAGCCAGCAGAGCTTGGTGACTGGTTGGATGTGGGACAAAGGGATAAGTGAAACCTTTGGTAATGTGTGGACATTGATACCCCTCCCTGAGGAAGGAACCCAAGAGGAGCAGCCTGGGGTGGTGCTGTAGGCAAGAAGGAAGAGGGAAATTATTGGCTTTATTTGGGTGCTGTTTACTTTGTGGGGCCTGTGAACAGTTATAGGGAGATAGCCAGTAGAAAGTGGCTGTCCAGAGCTGGTATAGATCTGGGGATAGTTGGCATGTGGGTGTGACTGACATCTGGGATGCAGCAGAGAGCAGGTGAAAGGGAGGGTCCAGGTTTGACCCTGGAGACAGAGGCAGAGTGTCCATGATGGAGCCTGACCAAGGACATTTAGAGAAGAGGAGAAATGCCAAGTGTCCCAGCAGGCAGGGAGGGGAGCTGCATATTCTAAACCTTACTGGTCCCAGATCCTTTGAGAATCTGAAAAGTTGTGGGCTTGCTCCCCAGAGAACATGCACATAGACACATCATGTCAGCAGATTCACAGATGCTGTGGAATCCAACCGGAGACTCTCTGGGTGTTCATAAGCCCCAAGTGAATAACCTATGTAGTTGCAGATTCAAGGAAAACATGGTCACTAATATCATATGCCACAACCAAGTTAGAGACAAATGAAAAAAATTACTTATATCTGGCAAGAAGTACATCATGAATGGCCTTCACCATTCTTCACAGAAGACAGACTGTAGGGTCTCATTGAGCAAATAGGAAGCAGTGACTTAGAGTCATGAGTCTAGCCTACCTTTTCAGTAGGCTTGGCTACGAAGGGACAGAGCCCATGATAGGACAGTCTTAAAGGCGAGTGAAGAACCAATAGAGAAGGAGATGCCCGTAGGGAAGTGATTGGGATGGAGGGGCTTTGGGACAGGCAAGCTGAGGGCTGTGCACTGCCTAGCAGGGTGAGTGAGCAAGTACTGTAAGTTGTCTGCAATTCCACATCCTCACTCATATGGGCAATGACAGAGCTTCCCTTATGAGGTTGGATTTAGATGAAGTAGTCCACATAAAGCACTTGAACAGTGCCTGGCACATAGGTATTGATCAATGCATATCTGCTATTATTATTATTATTACCATCATCCAGTGCACAGGTGCTTAGGGTCACACCCCTTCCCTGAGGAGCAAGAAGAAAGTTTAGGGTGGAACAGAATCAGGTGTGGTTGAGGTGGAAGCAAGCATGTGGAGGGAGCTGTTCTCCTCTCCCCTTCCTGGCAAATAGGAGGCTGGGTGGAAGGGGAGGGGAATGTTGGAGGGCAGAGGGGAGACAGCTGAACCTAGAGATGTAAAAGTGTATGTGAATGTTCGTAAGTATTACTCAGAACAGCCAAAAAGTAGAAACAATCCAGATGTCCATCAAATAATGAATGGATTAACAAAAGTGGTATATCCATACAATGGACTATTATTTAACCTTATAAAGGAATGAAATCGTGTCACATGCTACAACATGGATGAACCTTAAAAATATTATAAGTAAAGGAAGCCAGTCATGAAAGACTACATATTATATAATTCCATTTACATAAAATGTCCAGATTGTCAGATTTACAGGAAGTAAACGTGTGGTTTTCAGGGGCTGGGAAATGGTAGGGGTTGGAGGAAATGAGGGAATGACTGCTAACGGGTACAGGATTTCTTCCTAGATGATAAGAACATTCTAAAATGGGCTGTGGTGATGGTTGCACAATTCTGCATATACTAAAAACCACTGAACTGTACACATTAAGTGGTGCATTGTATATGTGAATTATATTTTAATAAAGCTGTTCCTTTTTTTAAAAAAAAAAAGAGAGAGAGAGAGAGAGAGAGAGAGAGAGAGAGAAAGTATGGCCAAAGCATTGGCTTGTGGAAAAAAAGAAGTAAAGCTAAGAGGTGGAGGATAGACATGGAGAAAACAGTAACAAGACCTGAAGTCCCCATGAAGTCACAGAATGAGAGAAGTGTAGCAAAGGAACAGGAGCGCCAAGGACTGCAGGCTGTTGGGGGAGGGTTTGGTGTTGGGAACCTCACACTTGATCACAAGTACATCTCCAGACTTCTGGTCTACAGGCTAATCATCTTCAGTTTTGGTTGTTGTTGGTTTTTTTCTATCTTTCTCATGTTTCAAGTCTTGTCCACTGAGATTTCTCTCTGTGTGTTTCCTAATCCTTCCTGCTCTCCGGTCCCTGGTTGTTAACGTTTTTCATCAATGACTGCCCAGCTCTACTGGCTTCACTGGGATTGTCCCTCGCTCTCCCCCATGCCCCCAAGGCAAAGTCACCCTTCTCAGGTGTCTTAGCCATTTGGTCTGCTATAGCAAAACATCACAGACTGTGTGACTTATAAACAAAAGAAATTTGTTGCTCCCAGATCTAGAAGCTAGAAGTTCAGACCAGGGTGCCAGGTAAGGGTCCTCTTCCAAGTCACAGACTCCTTGCATCCTCACATGGATGAAAGGGGAAGGGAATTCTGTGGGCCCTCTTTATTTCTTTTTATTTATGTTTTTGCCCTCAGCCAAGAACATGCTTAGAGAGGAGAGAGAGAGAAAGTGTGTGAGAGAGAAAAACATTGATGTGAGAGAGAAGCATTAATGTAAGAGAGGAACATCAGTGTGAGAAACTTCAATCGGTTGCCTTCCATACATGCCCTGACCAGGAATCAAACCCACAATCTATGTATGTGCCCTGACCAGGAATTGAACCAGCAACCTTTCAGTGCATAGGATGATGCTCAAACAACTGAGCCACTCTGACCAGGCTGGGGGCCCTCTTTTATAAGAGCACTAATCCTATTCAAGAGGGCTCCACCCTTGTGAGCTAATCACCTCCCAAAGGTCCCCCCTCTTAATACCATCACCTTGGGGGGTTAGCTTTCAACGTAAGAAATTTGAAGAGACACATTCAGACCATAGCATTAAGCAAAGGTCCATCACTGGCCACAGCTGCTCCACTTAGTCCCCTTAAAGAAGATCCCAGATCTCTGGCCAGTGGCCCCACTGCTCCCTGAGAGGACCCCTCCAAGCCCAGCACAGATCCTCACAGCCTCCTTCCCATTTTGACCTAAGAGCCCCAGCAGTGTGGCCTGGCTCCATTGCTGCTGGACAGAGGGTAGCAGATCCCAAGGTGATGGGATAGTGAGATGGATGTCTGGAGTCACCAGGCATTGTTGCCCATTGGGACCATCTGCCCTGACCTTGCCTCTCTCTTGCCACCCTGCAGAGTACTCAGTAGCCATGCCTAAGTCCGTGTTCCCAGGCTTCTTCGTGCTGGGGATGCTCCTCTGGACCCTAACAGAGTACCTCCTCCACCGCTTCCTGTTCCATATGACACCCCCCAGCAACAGCTATTACCTCATCACGCTGCACTTCATCTTGCACGGCCAGCACCACAAGGTGAGCAGGGTGGGCTCCCACCCAGGGCCTTGCGACTATAACCCACTCCTAGGAGCTGCCCACAGCTGGGAGGCGGGCTGGGAACAGGAGGAGACTGGGGCATTTGATGTTGCTCAGAGGGAGGACTGGGTCCTCATCTGAACCGGGCATAAGCAGCGTGGGCATGTGGGTCTAGATGCCATCATTATTGACACCAGGCACTCTGCAGGTCCCTTCCATGTACCATCTTGAATCCTCACAACAACTCATTAAACAAATGTTCACTGAGTGCTGGCTCTGTACCAGGCACTACTCTAGACACCATTGAACAAAACAGTAAAAAATCACTGCCCTGGTGGGGCTTCCTTCCGAAGACAATGCTATAATTCTTCCCATTACACAGAGCAGCAAACTGAGCCTTGGGGAAAATAAGAAACTAAGGAACTCTCCCAAGGTCACACTTGTCACAACCAGGATCTTGTGCCTCATTCTGTGGATTCCAGAGTCTCAACCACCCACCACTCTGAGGCTCTTCCAGGGCAACCTGACAATCCCAGTGGCAGGGGCTGAAAGCCAGGTCTGCCCTGAGGAAGCTGCATTCCACTGTCCATACAATGCTGTTCTCAGCCTGTCCCAGGGTACCCCTCCCTCCCTCCCTCCCTCTCTCCAGGAGCTGGCTTTCCAGCACACACTGGTCCTGTTGCTCCTTGTCTGTGTGGAGAGAGGCCCTCATCGGTATATCACTTTATGACTATTGCCTGCTTCCTCTCTTTTCTTCCAGCCCAGAGAGTGTCTGTCTCTTCTCAGAATACTCACCAAGTAGTCACTAAAATCTTACCTCTGCGCCAGGCCTTTGGCTTTTAAAGCCCATTTCTCTTGTTTAATATGACAATACTGGCTTGGAACAAAGAAGGGCCCCTGGTAGGCCAGGGGGTGTGGAGGAAGTATGTTACACTTCCAGTATCATCCCGCCATGGGAATCTGCACTAACCTCAGTTTGCCAGTGTGTTGCCCTCCCGGACAGCATCTAAGTGCCCCGCCTGGTCTTCAGAGGTGGGGCTCCTCTCCAGCACCTAACAAATTCCAGAGCCAAAGTGGCCGCTTGAGCATAAAGCAGGACTCAAAACCGTGAGCATCCCGCCCACATCACATCCACCCCCATGTTCTTGGACAGTGTTCCAGGTCCTATCTGGCTTGGAAATTGGGAACAGGACAGTCTCTCTGGGGCTTTCAGGCATGTTGGCTTGCCCTCTCCAAAGCCACTGAAAGTGCCAAGCCTACCCATGAAAGTCACTGCCCCCTGCCTGGGATATCTGGGCTGCTGCACCCCATCCTCCGTGGGGAACATCTCTGTTGCAACTATACGCAGGCCCCAGGCTGCGTTCTGACTCGAGCCTCTCCATCTACAGGCACCCTTCGATGAGTCCCGCCTGGTCTTTCCCCCTGTGCCAGCTTCCCTGGTGATTGCCTTCTTCTACACAGGCTTACAGATCATCCTGCCTGAGGCGGTGGGGGGCACTGTGTTTGCCGGGGGCCTTCTGGGCTATGTCCTCTACGACATGACCCATTACTACCTGCACTTTGGCTCGCCGCACAAGGGCTCCTACCTGTACAGCATGAAGGCCCACCACGTCAGGCATCACTTCGCACACCAGAAGTCAGGTGAGGTTTGGCCAACACCTCCTAGTCTCACTCATTTAATCATTTAATCATTTGACAGCTACCATTAAGCCCCTACCAAGGGCCAGGCACTATTCTGGGTACTGGGGGATACACGGACAGCAAGGCAAGCTTGGGGTTCCCATCCGACTCTCTAATGTGGGGGGCTATGCAGAGACAAACGAGGAAATCAATCAATAGTAAAAGATCATTTCAGACGGTGACAAGTGCCACAAATAAAGCAAGATGATGCTAGAGGCACCATGTAAGTCAGGGGAGAGGCCCAGCTCTGTCTAACAAAATATGCAAGTCACAGATGTGATTTTTAAATTTTCTAGTGGCCACATTAGCCAGTAAAAATAAATGGATGAAATTAATTCTAGTAGCATATTATATTAAGCCAAATATAGCCAAAATATTTTCATGTCAATATATAATCAATGTAAAACATCATTAATGAAATATTTTACTTTCTTTTTCATATATTAAGTCTTCCATGTCTGGTGTGTATTTTGCACATCTCAATCCAGGTGCTAAATGTTCATTGGAAATATTGAATCTGTATTTAGAGTGTATAAGATTTACAGTAAAAAAAACAAAACAGGAAATTCACATACCCGAATTGCTCTGAATATACTTGAAAGGTTTTCAGCAATTGAATTGAGCATACGTTTTAAAATTGAAATTTAAGTTAATTAAAATGAAATGAAATTAGAAATTTAGTCTCTCTGCTGCTCTAGCCACATTTCCAGTGCTTAGCAGTCATGTGGGCTAGTGGCTACCATGTGGGATGGCAAAGCACTAGATAAAGTGGTCTAGGAAGATGTCACTGCAGAGATGTCGTTAGAGCTGAGATCTAAATTTTAAAAAGCCAGCATCTGACCTCTGGGGAAAGAACATCTCAGGAGCAACAGGTGCAAAGCCTTGAAGCCGAAACAAACATAGCACCTTCAAAGAGAAGGAAGAGGAAGAGGCAGGCAGGGGCCAGGCCCTCCCAGGAACTCGTGCCAGATAAAGAATTTGGGTTTATTCCAATGGCATCCTTGGGAGACTGGAAACACAGGTACGCTGCTCTTGCCTTCTGCCAGGATGGCCCTGAGAGTTGGGAAGGCCAGTGGGGACAGATGTTAAAATCTTCCCAGTGCTGGCCCTACCCTGGCTCCCTTTCTAAGCAGATTTATCCTCCTCCCTGGACAGTGCCTTACCTTCTCCTTATTCATCTCCCTCTCTAGGATTTGGCATCAGCACTAAATTTTGGGATTACCTTTTCCACACTCATATGCCGGAAGAACCCCACCTGAAGATCCAGTGACAACTCCCAGCCCCACTGTGGCCCCTGCCCTATCCCACTCCCATCCAGACCCTGCAAAGGTGTGCCTGGCCAGGCAGGATGAGCTTTGTCCAGCTCTTGGGCTTGGTGAAGGGTGCTGGGAGACCCTAGAGACTGAGACTGACCCTGAGACTTCCCTCCTAACCCACCACATGAGGGTCACATCCACTTGGGCCCTCAGGGACTAGCTCTTTCCTGCAGCATCCCAGCCTTTCCACCAGCATCTCTGCCCAGAGTCTTAGGCCACAGGACTGCTTTAGGACCCAGCCAATATCAGCCCCAAGGGGAATGAAGGAAACGGACCCCTGTGACTTTCTGACAGGTCTGTGACCCACCTGTGTCTTAGCACCTCGGGCTCCCTGGGAGCCACTCCCACAGAAAGAGTGGGGTATGCACGGCCTCTGGCCCTAGTCTTCCCCACCTTCCCTTCCTGAGGACGGTTTGATGACTCTGGCTTTCTCCTGATGAATGGAGAACACTGAGGTGGATGAAGAGCTCTCACAAGAAGAGATAGCATGATGCCATCCCAGGTCCCAGGGCAGTGCCTCTGTCCACTGCCAGTCACAAGTGCCAGCTGTACCACCAGAGGCCTCAGGCTGAGACACATGCCGAGCCCTCGCCTGCCTGTGCAGATGGGCCGAGGCTAGCTGGCCTTGGCCTCAAGGCTGACGGGAGTCAGGGCTCTTTCTTTAGGAACCACCAGCTGCTCTGGCCGTCTCTTCTCTGCCTCCAGAATCACAAAGCTTTTCTCCAAGGGAGGCTAAAGAGGCCTCTCTATGGGTGGGAGCCCCACCTCATTTCTATCCATTCTTGACCACCACCTGCACAGGTGGGCCCCTGTCCCCTCACCCAGGACCCTTCCAACCAGTGCCTCCGTAGGCCAAGAAGGAGACTTTATTCAGTGCCTTATCTCCCTCCCCATTTGCTTTCCTACCAACCCCCACCCCAGCAGATGAGGTTCCAGCCCCTTTTTCCTCATAACCAAAACCCTCACTGCTCATAAGAGGGTCTTATTTATAAACTATATAAATGCTCGAGTAGCTGCTCAGATTGCCCTTTCTAATCCTATGTGTTGAGCTTATGTAAACCTTTCATCCTATTTTTGTTCCCTTCTTACCCACAAACCATTACTACTTGAAACTTCAAAAACTCCATGAGCATAAAGGCTAAAGAGAAGCAGTTTGACCGCTCCTGTGATTTGTACTGTTTACTGTGGAGTTATTTAAAGATTTTGGAATAAATATACAAACTACAATTGTGAAATAAAGGTGTAAAATAAATTGTATATTTTGAAAAATAAAAACATTTTAAAAGAAACAAAGAGTAGTTGCTACTTATTGAGGTTGATTCACCAGACTTTATCCTGGAGGGTAGGGGATGGGAATGGCCCATCCAGGAGGAGGAGTATTTATCACTGACCAGGTTGTGTAGACTTGTCGGGGTCATGCTGATAATAAAAAGCTGAGCAACTCCTATTCTCGGACTTGTTTCTGTTACTGTTTTTAAATTCTCGCAGACAGCATGCCCCCTTACTGCCTGCACATGGGGCAGGGGTGTGGGCAGTATGACTCCCATCAACCACCTTGGCACACCACTGGGAGACGGCTCCTCTGCAATCTCTCAGACCCCAACTGAAATTCCAGCTGACTTTCCTAACACAAAGGAGGAAGACTCTAGCAACAAACACCCACTGTGGGAACTAGAACATCAGGACGGCTCAGTCGAGGTGAAACGGTCTCTCAGGATGTCTTCGTAGCCACCACACCAGAACCACCTGAGGAATCTCTCAAAATACAGTTCCAAGTTTGCAACACACAGAGTCTGGTTCAGCAGGCCCGGCAAGGTGGGCCCTGGCTTCACCTCCCCAAGGATGCAGAAGCAGAAGCCGACGTGAAGTAATGTTGGTGAGGTTCCTGCGATGTGGAAGGAGTCTCGGGCTTCGCTGCTTCTGGCTCCGGCAGCCATGTGGTGGCTTCGTCCCTGCAGATTCAAGCCTGAAGATAAGGACCACCTGCCTGAGCCACCCATCCCTCAAGCTCCTGGAATCTATCACTGGAATCAGACTGTTCAAGCAGCAGAAATCACATCTCCCATTTCCCAGATGACACTGGAAACCTGACCATGGAGCATCACACTCAAGGGGAAGGAAGAAAGAAAAACAAGGAGCAAAGGAAGAGATTGACTAGTTGTAAATATGTAAGTCCACCAGAGAAAAGTCTAAGTTGAGCAAGTTTGAGCAAAAAATTAACTGGGGGGAAAAAAACTTATTTAAAAAGATTGAAAAAGAACTAATAAGAAATGCCCAAATCTAAGTGAGTTTGTATCATGACAATGAGAAGATTTGGGGTGGGGGAGATACCTCCCCTCCCACACACACACGCGCGCTCACGCAACTAAGCAAACCTAAATGCAAAGATTCACTCAGTGTACATAGGATGGATTCCCCCAGAACTTCCACTTGAACCTGCTATAACTTTCCAGAGGGTTAGGAATTTCCACAAAGCCTATGGAAGAGAGTGAGCTCCACCTTATAGAAGAGAAGAATATAGGAAGTGCCACAAAGCCCTTAATCGCAAGACAGTTGGCAGTCCTGGTGCAGTCCAAATTCAGTGACCATCTGGTAGAGTTGGAGAATGTTATCAATTGCAAGAGACAAAAGAATCAAAGATTAGATGCTAAAACAAGCATGGGATATTATAAAAATGCCAGCACATCTAGCAAGATGGGAAAGTCTGAAACTTATGGCACATGATTATGTTTATTTCTGTAGTGGGAGAAGACACAAAAGTCATCTAGAAAGTTGAATGCTCTCTCAGGCAAAGGCTATTTCGATTCCAATCAGTGTAAATACGCAGGTTAACTGACTCTCAATGATCCTAGCAATTTACCTTACCTGATTCTTTTTTTTTTTGTACAGATAGAGTGGGAGGGAGAGAGAGGAAGAGAGAGAGAGGGAAACATCGATGTGAAAGGGACACATCGAGTGGCTGCCACCCGCACGACCAACCAGGGCCGGGGACAAAGTGCAACCGAGGTACGTGCCCTTAGCGGGAACCGAACCCGGGTCTCTCCGGACCGCAGGCCGACGCTCTAACCGCTGAGCCAAACCGGCCAGGGCTACCTTACCTGATTCTCCAGCAGCAACCCTGCTGCCCTGGCAGAGAACAGACCCATAACCATTATACACATTTATTCCTGGCATTGTTCTTCCAGACATGCTTGCTGTCTTTGAGCATAACTGGACTTGTTTCACTTCTCCATTGGCTCTGGCCTCTGATCTCTGCTTTTGAACTTTGTACGATTTTTTTTTTTTTAATTTTATCCTCAACCAAGGACATTTTTTGCATTTATCTTCAGATAGAGCAGGAGGGAGAGAGGGGGAAGAGAGAGAAACATCGATGTGAGAGAGACACATCAACTGGTTGCCACCCACACGACCCCAACTGGGGCTGGGGAAAAACTGCAATCAAGGTACATGCCCTTAGTGGGAACCAAACCAAAGACTCTCCAGATCCACAGTCCGACGCTCTAACCACTGAACCAAACCGGCCAGGGCTGTATGATTTCTTATTGTGCCAGCACAATGCCCCGCTTGTGACAGGCCCCAATAAATGTTAGTCTTGCCTCTATCAGATTTCTGGCAGTTTACATTATTTGGGCCTTGCTTCTCTACCTGTTCCCTGGCCTCTGCTGCCCTCTTGTGACAGCATGAAGCTCTGCCTCCTTACTACTGCCTTCATGGTGACTGTTTTGGAATCAGATGACTGTAATTGTAAAATTCCAGCCCTTTTCTTCTTCTTTTTCAAAAATTTATCTTTATTGTTTGTTGAAAATATTACAGATGTCCCCTCCGCCCCCTCCGATTCCAGCACTTTTTCACCTTACTTGTTCCCTTGACTTACTGTTTTGTCTCATTTACCGTTTTTGAGAGGAGGCTGGAACCGTGTACATATGAACTTCCCAGTTCTAACTTTCTATAAAGATATGATGGATGCACAAAAATTGACTGGATCTTCTTTACAGTTAGGTAATAACAGCACAATGTATAAAATGCATCTATTAAAGGTGCTGCAGGATAGATGTGAAATCTGGAAAATGCTAAGACTGTTGTCTTCACGCCATCTCAGACAACTTATAAGCTTGTAGCAGGAAAAAAGAAGAAACAATAAGAAAAAGAAAAAATATATATTGTTTTGGTAAAAGCATAAAGGGGGGATCATGTCCTCATTTAGGTTCCCTAAAAAGCAAAACCAAAAATGGGAGCATGGATGCAGGTAGTTTATTTGGGAGGCGATTGCAGAAATAAGGAGTGTGAGATTGGGAAGAGTTAGAAAGGGAAAGTAGGGGAGCCAGATAAGAATGAGGATGTGAGGGTCTCATACAGATTCTGCAGGGACATCCTGAGAAGCAGACAGAAACTGCCAGAATTGTCCACCCAAAGGACAAGAGGCCGAAACATTTATCCACAAGCTTCCTCTCCTATAGGTTAAAAACTGTCTTCAGGGGTGTCAACTACCTCCTCACTTATGGGCTGTCCTGGCATGCAAGCCAACCAAATTCCTTGGCTTTGATGGAAGTCCTGGAGCAAGAGCAAACAGATGGATGTGTGTCCCTGAAGTGGGATGCAGTCAGTACAAGTTGCATGTGAGCTTGCTAGGAACGATCCACCAGAACTATGGCACACATCAAAGCTGAGACAGTGTTCACGCAGAACCTTCCACGACAACTGAGGTTAAGACCAGAGATGGAGCCCTGGCTGGTATGGCTCAGCGGTTGGAGCGTCAGCCTGCGGACCAGAGAGTCCTGGGTTCAGTTCCCACTAAGGGCACGTACCTCCGTTGCAGTTTGTCCCCAGCCCTGGTTGGAATCGTGTGGGTGGCAACCAGTTGATGTGTCTCTCTCACATCAATGTTTCTCTCTCTCTCTTCCTCCCCCTCTCCTCCTGCTCTATCTGAAGATAAATGCAAAAAAAATGTCCTCAGGTGAGGATAAAAAAAAGACCAGAGATGGACAGAAGGAATATGACAAGAATCATCAGATGAGTCTGCTCCAGACCTCACAGTTCTTTGTGAGACCGAACCACAAATAAACCCACCTTCCAGGGCACTGCAAGTAAAATTGCCTGCATGGAGCAGAGAAAGGCTCTTTAGATAATATAGAACAACCACAACCCTTTGGAGGTCTAAGGCCTGAATTCATGCAAACTGGTTAGTCTGAAACACTCCAAGTCAAAATTTTGGTGTAAAATATCCCTGGCCGGTAAATCACAAGGCTCTCAGAAGATGCGTTTACAAATTTTTAGAGAAATGCAACTTCAATCTAGCCCTCAAAAAATTCCCACAACTGAGATTCCAAGAACTATAAGCACCCACAATGACATCAGGTATTGAAACTGTGGGATGTGCTAGAGATCTTTCATTTGCTCTCCAGATTCACTCTCCATCTTTCCCCACACCACTCAGTGCTCTGTGAGGCTGATCTGTGTGAACAGAATCAGTGTGTTCTTTAGTTCATTGGCTGCCAGTTCTGCAAATACAGGCACTGGCAAAAGGTTGGCGGGATTGAGGAGAGTGAGATCATATGTCTCTTGGCCATTTGTATGTCCTGTTTGGAGAGGAGTCTATTTAGCTCCTCTGCCCATTTTTTAATTGGGTTCTTTATCTTCCTTTTGTTGAGTTGTGTGAGCACTCTATATATTTTGGAAATTAAACCCTTATCTGATGTATCATTGGCAGTTATGCTCTCCCATACAGTGGGTTCCCTTTCCAATTTGATGGTTGTTTCTTTTGATGTGCGGAAGCTTTTAAGTTTGATGTAGTCCCACGTGTTCATTTTTTTCCTTTGTTTCTCTTGCCTTAGGTGATGTATCAGTGAAAATTCTGCTCAGTATGAGGTCTGAAATTTTGTTGCCTACATTTTCTTCTAGGATTTTTATGGATTCATGAGTCACATTTAAGTCTTTTATCCATTTTATGTTTATTCTTGTGTGTGGTGTAAGCTGATGGTCTAGTTTCATTTTTTTGCATGTAGCGGTCCAATTTTCCCAACATCATTTATTAAAGAGGCTGTCTTTACTCTACTGTATGCTCTTGCCACCTTTGTCAAATATTAATTGGGCATAATGTCTTGGGTCAATTTCCAAGTTATCTGTTCTGTTCCACTGGTCTATATGCCTGTTCTTGTGCCAGGACCAAGCTGTTTTGATTACAGTAGCTTTGTAGTATAACCTGATATCTGATATTG